CAAAATATATTTAACAAAATCACATACAAAAAATTATATAACTCTCCAAATTTCATCGGTGTCACATAAATTGAAACAAAGAACTACTCCCAATTTATGTTATTTACTTTCCTTTTTAGTCAGTCCCAAAAGAATGTCACATTTCTATATTAAGTAACAATTTGATTATAAAATATTTATTTTACCCTTAATGAAATAATTTACAGTCATACAAATTTATATCATTCATTTTGGACCACAAATTTTAAAAGTCTTCATTTCTTTTTTAAACTCCGTGGCAAATCAAACTACCTCACATAAAATGAGACGGAGGAAGTAATATACATTGGGCCCGCGCTGGCGCGGGAACCTAATAACTAGTATTATTATAAATACTAAAGCAAAGAGAGCCTGTTGCATGCAATAGGACTGGGCAGTTACATAATTGTTGCAAAAATTAAACTTTTTGAATAATATAATTTCTAAAATATTTTTTCATATTGAGCTATTTATAAATATTGAAGGAACTATAAAAAAAAAATGGGATTTTAAAAATAATGCACTTTGTTCCCTCTTTGCTTTGTATGCTTGTCACTTTATTCTACTTTCGATATTGATAACTTCCATGGAGTCAAGAGTGATATCAAAGTGGAGAGAATAGAGCAATTATGAGTATAAATATCATCATTTTTTTCCTCAAAAGTATATAGTTTGATTTTAAAATGTGTCTGTAACTGCTATTTTATCGTATCAAAAACCTCGAAAAGACCCCCCAACACCCTCAACCCCCACCCCAATCCCACCCTCACAAAAAAATGAAAAACAAAGCATGAAAAAGGAAAGATAACTTTGCTTTTCCTTCAAAATTAAATAAAGCTAAAAAGTAAATCATTTCGATAAGGGCGGAAGATCTCATCCATCTACAACCCTCTTTACTAAATATCTCATCACAGCCATTGTCTGGTGGCATATCTTTAAATTTATACGTAATTAGATAAACTATAGCTGATAATGATAATTATGATCTAATAACTTATTGATGTCAGTTCCTCAAATGAATACTTGAACAAAGATGGAAATGTCAAATCTCAACATATGCCCAAGAAGCCTTAAACATCTATGGAATCATTTAATTAAATTTAGGCCCCACTTTTGGGCCCATAATTTTGGATTAGTATTGACCACGTGAGATGCGTCTTTCAATTTTGTCAAATAGCTATCAATTCTTCCTTTAATGTTAAAGGTCCCCCTCCCCTCTTTAGCCTAAACTTGACTTCTTACCATAAAAAAAATCATATGGGATTTTCATGTCAATTTAAAGAGTAACATTAAGGCCTACTTGACCTTTTCCTTAATTGTTTTTAAGTGATTTCTATCAAAATAATCTTTTTTTTCTCTTTTATATATGAGAAAAAGATATCTTCACATGCTAATTTTGATACATTAAATATTTGATTTAGTTATTGAAAACAAATAATGTAAATGAGGGACAAAAATAAAAGAAACATATGAAATAGTTGCACTTATGCTTGCAACATCAATATATAGGTGCAACGCTAGTTCGATAAGTCAAAGGAAAAACAACCACCGTTTGATTTTGACACTCAAGCGGCCCGTCCTATTTTTGATAACTTTCTAATATTTTAAATAATTTACTTATTTTAAAATATAATTTTTTTAAAATCCAATAATTCACTTATTTTAAAATGTAAGAGCAGAGTCGAATAAAATGAAACGAAAAAAGTAAAAATACAATTGGAAGTATCAAGAATGTCTTTTGCAATAAGTTCTTTTAAACTGAATTTTAGGTAGGAATTGTCACTTTCCACTAGGTTTGTCACAAGGGATAGAGCTACCAACATTGGAAAATTAAATTAAGACAAAAAATTTCATTGAGTTTGATTGAATATCTCACCCCTCTTGTTTTCTTTTATTTATTTTTAGCTTCACATCTCAACCATATTTAATTTATTTAAATAATTGTGAATATATTTCAATTAAATCCATTGAGTCAATTTTCACAAAAATCTTCTTCTCCTTTAATAGTATCGGAGAATTTATAGCATGTTTGATCAAAAATTCTATAATAATTAATCTCTTATTAGTAATTTAATTTTATATACATACTTTGTCGGACCAATAGCATGATCTTCACTACTATAATCACAATTAATATTATTATCATGAAATCATAGTACTATTTCTAACCAAAAATAGACCAAATAATTTGTTAGTGAAATATCCTACCATATATATATATAATTCCTACAACCCTAGAAGCTCCAAAAGAACTAAAATTTTTGAAGACTCAAACATGTTGGAAGACAACAAAAAAACCCAAAAAACATGTTTGAAGACAATTCACGTAATCTTCATTTTATAATACTGTATTACTTATTCGTTTCAATTTATTTGTTCTATTTTAAATTTGTTACGAAGTTTAAGAAAGTAAAAAAACTGTTGAATTTTGTTGTTTGTTCTATTTTAACTTGGTACGAAATATAAGAAAGTAAAAGAGACAATTGAATTTGAAAATAGAAATTTAAAAATTATCAAAAAGAGAATTTTTTTTTTGTAAATGAACCAAAATATAAAATATGACAAATAAAGTATTATTGCACTTATTAGTGAATGATTTTTAATTATTTTTCTCATTTGCAATCATTTTTTTTTGTTGTTGTTGATTATATTATATTACTCCCTTTATTTCAATTTGTGTGTTACATTTCATTTTTTGAGAGTCAAACAGTTTAAGTTTGACCGGAAATTTGCGCATAAAATCTTCAATTTTTTTGAAATAAAATTTATATATTTGTAAAGTACGTAAAAAGTACTATAACTCACAATAATTGACAATACAAAATATTTTTAAAATATATGAAAAATTTATGGTCAAAGATAACTTGTTTAAATTTTGAAATTCGAAATATGTCATATAAATTGAGACAGATGGAGTAATAGTTTAATAAAAAGCCATGCCCTAATCCAAAAAAAAAAAAGGAATAAAAATAGAATTTTTCAATTCCATGTTGATCACCTTATCCAATGACATAAAAGGCAAGTTATATCCTCCACTCCATATATGTAGAGTAATATCCAATCAAATAAAGTACTACTACTTATTAAAAGGTGATATAATATAAAGTTTCAAACCATTAATTATTTCCCAAATGAAGCAATACAATCTTTTCTACTAGTAGTACTATTTTCTTTGTACTTGAAGTGGTTAAAATAAAATAATTCCATTTCCAAAAGTGGACACTCTTTTTTCTCCCTTTTTTGACTCCAAGTTTTCAACTTACACATTCTAAAAATGGCAAATCTTTAACAATTTTGCTTTGATTGCAAATCCCAATTTGCCTTTTGTGGACACAAGAAACTTGGAATTTTGTGTAAACTTTGTTTAATTTATTAATTAATTAAAATGAAATGAGTAAAAGAAAAAACCAAAGTCTTATTTATAATATTTTTGTAGTGATAAAATTATCTCATTAAAAATAGGATTTAAGTTTTGTCAATTATTATTATGTAATCTTTTTTATATTATCATCTCATCAGATCACCTTTACATGATATCATCAATAACATATCTAATATAATTCATGTCGAGTGAAGTTTTAATCTTAAAGAAAATTTCTATAAAGGAATTTTAGTTAATTTAATAATATAAAAATTATCTTATACCAACGACTAATATAACTTAAATTCTAAAAAAAAAAAAATCTTTTGAAATAAAATGTCATTCATGATGCAACAATAATAACAACAATAACAATTCGGCTCCTCGCTCATAACAAATATTAATTGGAGAAAATTACGCGATTAACCAAACTTATACTATTTAATTATTCATTATAGCTATAGTTTGTTATAATTATCACTCGCGATTAACATTATACATTAATTATGTGGACTGACTTCGAGTTTCTATAATTACCCACGTTTATATATGTATAATTCTCCACATTTGTATTATTTGCAGCTAACAATTCTGTTTGATTTGTATTTGTCTACGATTGTTTGTATTTATATATGACGATGATTTCCTTTGATTTTTAGTTTTGTCATCATATACATTCAATCTTTTTGTGTAACTTTTTAAGTTTGTATAAAAGTGTAGTTTTTTGGATTTTGTATAATATATTTTGTATAATTGTTTAAAGTTCATATGTTTGTGTTTGTATCAATTTGTTATTTTGAGTTTTATTAATTTGGTATAATTCCAGACTTTATATTACTCAATTATACAAAAACACGTGAATTTTACAAATGTACATGCAAATTATACAAACGAGATACGAATTATACAAATTATTGTCCTCTCTCGCTCGCATCTCTCTTCCCTCTCCCAATCTCGTTGCCTCTCTCCTCCCTCTCCCAATTTCTCTCGCCAGAATATATAAATACATATGTACAATATACAATTATCTAACCGATATACATATACAATTCACCTCTATCCCACTCTCTGCCCTCTCTCGTTCGCCTCTCTCCTCCCTCTCCAATCTCTCTCGCCACTCTCCTCCCTATAATTTGTAGCTACAAATCGTAATTAGCAAACTATAGCTATGAAGTGTAATTAGGCTATTTTTGAATGGATGTATGCGAAAGTTCCTCATTATTTGACTCTTTAATCGTCCCATACTAACACAATTAATAATGATTCGATTTCTTAATCCACAACAATTATTAGCGGTTATTCTCCTCAATCGTTCGATATATTCAAAATAATTTTATAAATAATGACGAAGTCATAATATTAATTAAAGAGTATCAATATATATATATGACTCATCGACTTTTCACCAAGTGAGATATTGAGAAAGATAAAGTATACGCATATCTAACTTGTGCGTCAATCATGATAATTATAAATAAATAAAATGTAGACAAAAATAGTGTAGGCTTTCATATTGAAATTCACTGGTTTGGAATAGTCCACGTAGCATTTTCTCAACCACTAGTCAAAAAAGTTAGTGTATACTGCCTTTGGGACTTCACAATTTTTGACAACTTTGGTTTTTTCTTCTACTATACCAAAAAAAACACATTGTACATACCAAAATTATTATATTTTTTTGCAATTTCTCTAAGTATCTCAATTTCATCGTCTGTTTCTTTACATATCAAGAAAAAAATAGTTTTTTAAAAAAAAAATTTGGTTACTTTTTTAGTACAATTACTTGTAAAAATGATGTGGAATTGAAAGAAATGATAAAGTTTTGATTTTTAAGAGATATAAATGAGTTTGCTATGGATTTTTGGAAATAAAGGTACGTGGGTATTTCTTGATTTGTTTTAATTTATAAGAATTAATACTTAGTTGTTATGTTTTCTTGATTAATTAGCCATAAAAAATTATGATTTGTGGTGAAAATAATTAACTAATGCGATGGTTTGTTCCTTCTTCTTCGTGTGGATAAAAATAGTCATTCTTTATTTTGTTAAGTTTGAATCATGGGTTTTTTCTTTAATATCTTTTTTTTTATACTTGAAAGTTTTAGAATATGCTATTATGAAAAAAAAAAAATTGGTTTTGTTAATATGTTTGAATTTATTTATACTTTTGCAGAAGAAGTTGAAAAGTTCTTGATCAAGGGCTTTTTAAAATTCATCTTTTGATGTCTTTAAGACTGAAAAAGTTTTTTTCTTTTTTTTGTAGTTCATAAGTATTAAGACATGCTAAAGGACCAATCTTTTTTTATTTTTGTTGAATATTTTTATCTTATTTTTGTTGGTAGTAGCATTATGCATGAGCTAAATTATTGGTTTTGTTATATGTGATGATATTTAATCAGAGTTGATTAGTTGATGAAATGTCTAGTTATTGATCTGAAAATCTAAATTGACATATCTTGCACCATTGCCCGACTAATTTGAATTCGCGTTATTTAGGTCATCTGAGTGGTTAAGCTAGCACTGGTTTAAGGACTAAGGATCTGAACCATCGCGTCGATCAGGGTATTTAATAGAAGTATTAGTTCATGAGATGTTGTAATTTGATATATTTTGGTTGCTCAATTGGAAACTGCAGATAAGAGGAATCTTAGTACCAAGTTGTGCTGAATCTGAATCTATGATAAAAAAGAATGCATTAGATAATGTAGCATATGCTTGCCATGTTTTTTATTTTGCTTTTATAATACTTTTCGATCTGTTTTTGAAAAAAGAATGCACCATAAAAGTAGCATATTCCAGATTTTGTGGTGTTGGGAAGATGGGGTTGTATTAAGAGTCTGTAGTGTAAGATGGTTCGAGTCGTGGAAGAAGTCACTATCTCTTTTGAAAAAGAATGCACTATAGAAGTAGCATATCACTTTGATATTGCTGATGACAGCTATAAAAAGGAAAGTTGTGGTGCAGAATGAACTATAGTTCAGGAAATGATAAAAGATGTTTCGAGAAATAGCATCTAACGTAGTTTTATTTGTGTCGTCTCCCAGAGAAGATTTTCATGTGATTTGGTAGTTGTCATTTAAATACTTGTTTTGCATGGACTCTTTGGCTATTTACTGAAATTGGCTGAGATATCTATCTTTGTTTTTATCAGGCTTCATTACAAGCTGTAGTCTGTCTTGCTGATGACAAATTTCAACGACGATGATATTGATTTAGGACTTGCTCTAGGTTGCACCACCACTCGTAATGTTCATGCGAAGCTAAAAGACGCTGTAGGTGCAGGTGTAAATGCAAGCTCAACCGGGGGTATGACATTTGCAGCATCTGATCCCCTATCGGAATTAGTTTGGTCCCCTCGTAAAGGTTTGAGCCTCAAATGTGCTGAGAGTGGCTTAGCTGACAAGAAACCTTTTCGTCTGTGGAATGTGGGACCAACCACTTTGATTACCGCACCATCACAAAGTGACAGATTTAAGGGGACTTATGATGAAAATGCTGCTTATGAGAAGATAATCGATCAAGAAAGGTTGGAGATCAATAAAATGGTATTAAAAAGTGGAAATGAAATTGGTAAGGCTATTGCCCGTTACATGTATTCAGTAGCACCATGTATATGGCGGTGTTGCTCACGTTTATTTTCTTTATATTATTAGTCACTGAGTAAATAGTCATCTGACAGGCTGCAGCAGCAAAGTGAAGATAATGAACACTGCTGACGGAGTTGATATGGTAGACGCTGATCAAGATGAGGAGAATGTCAAGAATACTGAGAAGGGCTTTTGTGTTCTGACAGTTGAAAGTTGTGAAAAGGATGCAGGTATAGTCTTCTATCCTAAACTCACTTTATTCCTAATGGTGTCTGTTATGTTAAGATTGTGGGGCATATGTAACACCATCTTGATTTAGTCAGCTGACGAAAGGATGGCCGGCTAGACTTTAAGATATCCAAATTTCCTAACATGTGTCTTATTTACTCACTTGTTTTGATGCAGGCAAAGGAGATTTTGGAACGGAGAGATTTCTGCTACATGGAGCCAGTTCCAAGGTTGATATGGGAACCACTGAACCTCTAGCAGGGAAAATTAATCAAGAAATTTCGACTAGTGATAAGTGTAGAAATGAAGATGTTTCCGGTGGCAGTCAGGCTCTAATTCCTACTGTCAAAGACTCAGAGGCCCCTGCATGTCTGCTTCCAAATTCACCAATCAAAATGGAAGCAGACAACACATTAGAATCTACCGGTCTCCCAGCATTAGAGTGCACAGATGAGAATGATGTACATCTTCCAGGGATTATCGAGACTTGTGATCAGAATGAGGAGCAACTTCTTAGGGGAAGTTCTGTTCCACCTGAAACTCCTCCAACACATAGCAGGTCCTCATCATATAGAAGGAAAGGCAAAGCAAAAGCATTGTCCGACGGAAATTCCAATACCAAAATGTCAAATGATGAGGAAGATAGCCATGAGAGTGTAGAAAGCTGCAACAGTACAGGGTTAAACCCAAAGGGTAAGAAACGTTGGCACTTTGAGCAGCAGTTTTTTGTCGGAAGTAAACGAATCAGAACGGATATACACCGAGATCCTGCCACAGAATCGACAGTTGCACATAATAGCTCTTTTGTGACTTGGATTTCAAACATGGTAAAGGGTTTGTCTAAATCCAAACTTGAAGGGTCTCCTACTCTTGCTCTCACCTTCACTCCTAATAATGAGGAAAGTCATGGAAAAGAGACTAATCATCAGGAAATTGTTATGTATGATAAAGATCATGATTCCGGTAGCAGGTCAATGGGGTTCCGATCTGTATTTCAGTCGTTATACTGTCCAACCTTAAAGGTGTCTGAAACAGAAATACCGAAAGAGGATCATTCAGTGGGAGAGCCTAAAAAGCTTTCATCAGCTGACAAAATCCTCATTGATGTTCCTCCAATATCCTGCCATCCGGGAGGCGATATGTTAGATGCACACATGCTAATGTCTAATGACAACTCCAACCAATCTACAGTGGCTTGCAAGGAAGTTCCATTGATGGAAACTCAGATTACACCAGCAGTTGTTGCTCCTCGGGAGGTTAGTAGAACCACTTCAGCAGAAAACAAAGCTTCTAATGGCTCGATGTCTAGACTTAGAACCAGCATTTGTGAGGAAAAAAATACCTCTCATTCATCTGAATATGACATGTCTAGTAGAAATCAGTCTCTTCGTAGCCTGTGGATTACTAGATTCTCCAACAAAACTCCTGGAACTGTTGTAAACATAGATAATTCCAAGCCAACTACACATGAAACAAGTGTGGTGTGTCGGATTGAACAGGCAAACTCCGATGTAAAGGAGACTTCGGATAAAGACCAATATGATGATGTTGCAGCCAGCTCGAAAGAGATTCGTGACAATAATTATGAAAGGTCCATGAATAATCTGCAGCCTATTGTATCTTCAGCAAAGTTCAAGAAGTCGGAGGCACTGGCCTCACTGTTTTCTAGGAGATTGGATGCCCTTAAATTCATAGGACCTTTTTCAACAAGAAATGAGTATAGCTACACAAGAACAACTTGTTTCTTCTGTGGCAAAAGTGGCCATGACTTGCGCAACTGTTCGGAAGTGATAGAATCTGAATTGGAAGTTCTTATTAGAAGCATCAGGGCTTACGAAGGCGCTGAGGAATCTTCTTGTTTGTGCATTAGATGTTTTCAGCTTGATCATTGGGCTATTTCCTGCCCAACTTCAGCTTCAAACAGGAGCGACAATTTGCGGGTCTTATCTGGCAATGAATGTTTGCCTAGCCAACTTGAAATAAAGCAAGGTCATCCCATTGAACTTGCTAATCGTGTTCATCACAGTAGAGATAGATCATCTAGTGACCTAATGCACAACAGAAAACAGTTCTTGTTTGCAATAACTTCTGGTTCCAATCAAGTTCTGAAGCAGAGAACGTCTGATTCTACGGAGAACAGTTTGAAAGAAAATATAATTTCTTCCAATTTTGTTACTAAAGAGACAGCAGATGTTCCAAGAGGAATTTTTGATGTCATCAGGGGTCTTCGGTTGTCTCGTATAGATATTCTCAAGTAAGCAAATCATCTATGCAACTCAGTATATCAATTTCATGTTTATTACTTCTTTAAATGTGGAATTTGTGCAGTTTAAATTCTAGTAAGGAGCAACGAGAGTTCAAAAAAATTCCACATACTAAGCTAGTAGTGTTAGATGCAGTGACATACATAATATTTTGCACAAGCAGTGTTGATCTATTATCACAACTCGTCATATGTTGTTTTGATTCGAGTATATAGAGGTTCTAAAGCTATACTTCTTGCCCCAAATGAATTTATTCAGCATTGTTTTCACCGGTAGTCGCTTGTTACATATATTTACACTGTTTGGTTGCCTTAGATGGATGAATTCCCACACTTCACTATCGCATTTGGACGGGTTTTTCTTGCGTTTGAGACTAGGGAGGTCGGAAGCAGGGCTAGGGGGTACAGGATATTATGTTGCATGCATTAATGGTAAGCTTTATAGTAGTTAATGTTCATTTCAAATTCTCTTCCATCTTTCAATGCAGAACAGATAGTTATTTTTTTATCTGTTTACGTTTGCCACGTCTTCCTATTTATGGAATCCACAGGTCTAAAAGGAGAAAATTTAGAGAGAGATTCCAATAACTGCATATATGTTAATGTCTGTGGAGTCAAATGCCCTGTGGGAAGCCAGTATATCTCCAACCAAGACTTTTTGGAGGTAATATAATTTTTACTTACACATCATACATAGTTTTCGGAGATTCCTACGTTTCTGAGCTTGTTTTTTTCTAGTTTAATTCTCTTTCTTACCAATTTTTATGGACCTTCTAGTGATAATTTTTGTTGTGAGGGTCATATCATGTTAAGTACTCCCTCCGTTTCAATTTGTTTGTCTAATTTTGACTTGGCACGAAGTTTAAGAAAGTAAAGAAGACTTTTGAATCTTGTAGTCTTAAACTAAGGATATGTAGAAGGTAGTCATATCATGTTAAGTACTCCCTCCGTTTCAATTTGTTTGTCTAATTTTGACTTGGCACGAAGTTTAAGAAAGTAAAGAAGACTTTTGAATCTTGTAGTCTTAAACTAAGGATATGTAGAAGGTAGTCATATCATGTTAAGTACTCCATCTGTTTCAATTTGTTTATCTGGTTTTTGAACTTGACACGAAGTTTAAGAAAGTAAAGAAGACTTTTGAATGTTGTAGTCTTAAGCTATAGATATGTAGAATGTAGTCATATCATGTTAAGTACTCCCTCCGTTTCAATTTGTTTGTCTAGTTTTGACTTGGCATAAAGTTTAAGAAAGTAAAGAAAACTTTTGAATCTTATGTAGTCTTTAACTAAAGATACGTAGAATGTAAGTCATATTATGTTAAGACAAACAAATTGAAACAGATGAGAGTACTTTTTTTCTTTTCTTTAAGGAAGTAATCCTTTTGATAGATTCATAAATTTTGACTTGGGATCACAATTAATCTAGCTTGATGTTGCATCTTGTCCTTGAGTTGGTTTTACTTGATTCCTTACACGAGTGAATCTAGTTAACTGCTCTCGACTCGGGCCATATGGATGTGAATAAGGTGAAGAAACTTGTACACGTAATGAATCGCAAATCCATTGACTTTAAATCTCAAATCTGTCTCTAATTCCTTACAGGATGAACTATCCACTTGGTGGCACAAAATGTTGGAGAGTGGTGGAAAGGTTCCTGAAGAAGGCGATTTAAGGCTAAAACTTGACGAGCGGATGAAACTAGGGTTCTAAGAACTCATCAGAACACACACCAAGTCCCGAGTTTGGATCGTCGAAACCAGACCAAGAAATCAGCTATTCCACCATCTTGTAAATAAGATTTTGGGTGCTATTTCACAAATTCTTTGTTTCTTTTTCTTTATTTGGTATTCTAGACATTTGAGATTTGAGAGTTCTTTTTAGTGATCATCTTGTGTAGACAGATGAATGTATTTGTTATCATAATGCTTTTGAAATGTTGATTAGATAACATGAGAAATATTGTTTGAAAAAAATAGAAAGAACATTATTTTCTATTATGAGGCATATTGATCTTTTTTTTGTGTTTGGACTTTGGACCAGTAGCATATATTCCATGGTAAGTGCCTTTGTGAGAGTTTTGTTGGAATCATTTTTGGTCTTTTTTATTTTGATGATCTTGTGAGAATATAAAAGATGTCCACCAGTTTGAACTTTTGTCTTTACTTTTCTCTTTCTGGCTTTAGATTTTTGTTGTGGCTATAAATCGCCACCCCCGAATGGGCCCTACAGTGCGTGATCTGGATTTAATTGGAGTTTCAATGCCGGCTCCGGACATCGAATGAAAAATTAAAAAAAAAAAATTCTCTTTCTATATATATTTTGTATTATTATTTTTCGTGGGGTGGGGTG